AACACAGAGAATGGAGCAAGGGTAAGGAATCACTACCACTTTTTGCTACTATCTAGTTACACCCTTTGTATCTTCACAAGTCCTACAGAGTCATGTCCACTGTGAAAAACCAGATGATGCTTTCATAAACTATTATTTTTTTTCTCTTTGAAACTTTTTCAGCAGATTAAAATACACCTCCCTGTACGAAACTAGCTGTTTTCTGAGGCTAGCGCAGTAAGCTGTAGGCATATAGCAACCCCTTGTGGCAAAAATAGTATACACAATAATTAACAACTATTGAAATTTCTTAAGCTACTCTTGATATGCGTCATAAACCTCTGTAAAATCTTAAGTGTTACCAAACAACTGGAGAGTTGGAGAGTCTCTCTTAGCTGGAGAGTCAGCAATACTCAGACTTCAGAATTGCAATCGTTCTTCTCTTCGATTGAAGAGTTACCTAAACATTGGTAGCCTGTTATAAATGAAGTGCCAGGTGGAAATTTCTGTTAATACAATTGTCTAAAAGTTTTTCATTAAAATTCAGCAAGAGTGGAATAATGGCCAGGAACAGAGTTCATGGCCAGGTTTTCCAAGAATAATAAACATGTTATTATGTTGAATCACTGTTCCCTGCATGGTTTTGCTGAATGAAGGGAAAACTATGATTGCTTTCACCAGGGAAGTCAAAGTGCCTTTGCAGCTTACAGTAGCTGACCAAGACTGAGAACAGAGTACAAGCCTGGTTCAGTAGTGTCTTCTGCAGAATGCTGGCAGAGCAGCAGCCCTTCAGCCGACAGTGGCGAGGACGAGGACAAGAAACAGTCAGACAGTGCTGTAGGCCTGGCAGCTCTAATAGCCTAAGGGCAAAAGAAATGGAACCCTTGTATCTGCAGAGAATCCCACCACACCTGCCCTCTTCAAAAGGATTTAACTCACAAGTGGCCCAAAAGCATGAAGTGCATGTTCCTCCAGCTAAACTAAATCAGCTGCAAGCTATCTGTCCTGCTCACGCTAAGTAGGAGGGGATAGTCTGGAAGATGCAGGAAGGGAACGTGAGGAACAGCAGCATGTTGCAACAATGGTCATCAAGGGCAGCGACATTTTCAAAACCAAGAGGTGCTTTACTGTGAGTCTGTTATGGGAGTTACACACCACAGGAACAACCACAATAGAAGTATCACAGGTGACACCAAAGAATTTTTACATTCTAGAAACACGCTCCTCTACCACTGAAACTAAAGACGAGCTCAGCAAATGCTTGGGCTTATGTCTGTACCAGTTACAACTTTTGGGTTTTGTACACCAGGGAGAGGTTACTGTGCTTGAAATGATTTGCAAGCCTGCGCATACTAGAGAGGAACAGGCTGAACAAGTATATCTTGGAAGGGATAGGGGCTTTAAAGAACATTTAATATTTATTTATGAAAATTAAGTCTTTTGTTATAGTTCTCTCTTATTGTAACTTCCCATATTTGCCCTGTGTAATTCTTTGCCATTTCATCTGCTGCAGTTTCACCCAAGAGTCAGAAGTCACATACTCTCAACGCAGATGTACACTTAACAGCAGACCCGATAGTTCATGCCAGACCAGGTAAAAGCTGCACACTGCCCAGTTACCAAACAGTTCTGTCAAGTGTCAAGCACCCCCCAGCCTGGGAGCGTCAGTGCTTAAAGGTAAAGACTTTTCCTTGCCCAAGAGGACATTCATCCCTGCAGAGGAGTCCAGCAAAACATGTGTGTGGTACTCAGGCTGTCAAACAGAATGTGTGACATTATGAAGCTCACCAGTGTGTTGAACCAATCAACATTGACCGAAATCTGTTTTCACTGCTTTCGTTATCACGTGGTTTCAGTCATTCCCATCTCTGTAAGGTGTTTTGAGGTCTGCAGATAAAAACAACTGCATATTAACTAACATGGTGTCCACCAAAATGATGAAATAAAGATCAACAGAACAAACAATTTATTGAAACCGTGCCATTCTTGTTGAACGCCTGCATCATTTGTAATAACCCTCAAGAAGCCTGAAAATACATTTCCTGCAAGGTTTTGATTTTTCTAGTAAGCCAACTGTATTTGTTCCTTATGTTCTGAATTTAGCTGTAATTCATATTTAAATAATGAAAGCAAAGTACTGAATTGAGACTTGAACTAAATAAAGGCAACTCCTTAAAACAGAAGACACAACCGATTCATCACAGTATCATCAATGATGGTGCAAACACAACCCAAAATGACACACAGAATGGAAGGCACAAACAGGATGAAAAACTAAGATGTCTATCATTTAGAAACTCAAAATTTGGTTTTAGTCTGCTGTTTAGCTCTTGTTATTACAAATATTATTATAGGCAGGACACCTTAACAGAAATAAATTAGAGAAAATAATGCACCTGTCAAAATACAACAGGTGAGTAAAAGACTGACTTGGTTGAAAAGGAAGTGCCCTTAATTAAATAATGTTCTTAATTATAAAATATATTTAAGCAGAAGAGTTTAGTTTGTCGTCTATAGAAATTTTCAGATTCCCTACAAATGACACAAAAAGTAATTATGAAATGCTACTTGTAATACCACCAGAGGGGACAACATCCCACAGAAGCAGGAAACGAAACAGATCAGTTGGCAGCATTTCCTGCTCTGCACTATGTGCATCATAGCAGAACAGGAGCTTGTACCTGCTTTACGTTTTCTACAATCATGAAACTGAGTTGATCAAAATTAGACCTGACTTCTTGTTAGGTCTTCTTTATACACCTGAAAATTCTACACAGGTAGAACATGGAAGATACTTTACATTAAAGCAGGCTTTCTGCTAGGCTCTTCGGAACCACCGCTCCATCACTCCAGGCATGTTCTGTACATACACAGATCCCAGGCACTGCTGCAACACGTGCCTGGATTCGTTCCTCCAGGAAGACAGATGCTTCTGAGAAGCCTCTTGGAGGCATATGCTGAGCCTGTGCTACCTAACTGCTGTTTGCTGATACAGCACAAACTACATTTCCAGAACTTCAGTTACTACTGTATGTACTTAGTTCATCTATATAGTATTGAACTTGCTAAATGCGCACTGCACAGAGTGGAATAGATGGCCTTTTAAACAGAACAGTTAGATCTATAAGCAATGACTGTATGACTACCTGATTTATGTCACAGAAGTAGTTTCCTGTAGCTACCTTCTACACTGAGCATGCCGTCCCTACTCTGAACATGCTACTTTAAACAGTTTAAGTAACATTCATTAAAAAAACAAAAAAGAACACAAACCAAACTGCAAAATCAAATAAGGATCTAACAGGAGAGAAGTCCGATCTTTTGGGCCATTCACTGCCACCTGCAGTGATGTTAACGTTAGATCACAATGTGGGTATTTACACAGCTGCAGTGGCGAAGCACTGCAGTACCAGCTCACATTCCCACTGAGCAACCTGCACACAGCTAGGATCATAACGTTTCCAACCATTCCAGGGATGCAGGATAGAAATAAAGGCTCCAGGTATCTCCGTTCCCAAGGTATCCCAGCAACTTCTCACAGCAGGGTGCAACCTACCACAGTCACCCATTTCTGTGGTGTGCCAGGACATGTCCCACCCCTTCCAGGCACCAGGAACGGGTGTTCAAATGATTTCTCCACTCAGGTATACGTCAAGCACAAACTGGCCAGAACAACTGGTTGTCTAGTTAATCTAGCATCCAGGGGAAGGCTGGGGATAACTCGGGAAAAGACAATCTTTTCCTAAAAGATCTCCTTTTGCATTAAATCCTTGGCCAGAATATAAATATCTGTTCAGAAGCAGATTACTTCAGAGAAAGTAATGTTCATAAACGCCTTCAGAATCAGATCCTATAGTTTTTCACTAGCCACTGATTTTCTTCAGAAACAAAAAGGATAAAGACCAGAATTACAAAGATTATACTAACATTCTTTCTGTATGGAGCATATATTAGCCATTGAGATGTTAGAGTGCATGGTGCTATTTTTGGCCTTGATAGCATGAATAATCATTTCACACAATGGACAGCTTTAACTCAGATCATGTTTCGTCATTTACATTCATATTGATACTCCTTTATATACAGCCAGCCTGGGGAGTGGAAAGTGTGCTATATATGCTACAAAAGCAGAACTAGCTGTTTTCCAATCCCGTACCTACAACTTAAATATCCGTAAGTATACTGCTGTTGTTGTCCATGATAACAGTGTCAATATCTTACAAGTAGCTACCAGTCAGTTAAAGAACACGGGAGAAAAAGCAAGGTCTTCTTCATAGGAGCAGCAGTATTTTAATTTTTCCTACTTATTCAAGGTATAACCAAATTACTTATTGCACATACTACTAATCACCACCTCCTGTGCTCATAATTTAATCTTTAATCAACATATAAAGTTATTTGCATTTTATGGATGGTTGAAATGAAGCAGACATTCATGTTAAGTGTTACCACTTAATTCTGGGTAGCCCACCTGGGATCCCTCTATTTAAGAGGGAGTGTTTCATATGTTTGTAACCAATTTCCACTGTAGTCATGTGGAAAGTGCACTATAAAAAGAAGCCTCATTGACACTATAAACATTTTTGAGCATCATCTTTCATACTGAGTAAGTCTATTTGGACTCCTTGACTACAGTTTTAGTGGTATATTCATCTGCAATCACTACCTTAAAAATAACCATCCCAGAAGAATTAAATTCAGAACAAGTAAAAAAAAAAACAAAACAAACCTAGCAGAGACGAGGGCTTACAGTTTCCAGTACTTTGTCAAAATTCATACAGTAAGGGAAGCTGTTAGATTTCTTGGCACCGAATAATTATTGTACACTAGTAAAACCAAGTTAGACAGAAGCCATGATATTTTAATAAAACCGAGTACTTTTCTTATGAAAGTATTTTATTGTAACAGAAATACAGTAAGATACAAGGCACATAACTTTTGATCCTTTTACCACAGTGTGCTAAGTGCTATTTAGAATAGAAACTCACTTTTAAGTAAACATGAGTATTTTAATAAGTATCTTAACATTTCCGTGGTTGTTGAATTATGCAAATTCTTTTAGGTATGAACTTCTCCAAGGCAGGCTGTGGCTTTTGGTGAGCCACTTGTAATGCTGCTGCATGAATTTTGTGGCTCATCTGTAACATTAAAGTGGGAAAAAAAAGTTGTGACAGAATACAGCTTTTCTACTATTCTCTTCCTAAATTCCATCATATGAAAGTAATTTAAAAATGGCAGTAAAACGTAACTCCACAAAAAATTCAAACGATCAATACATAAAACCCATGGTGACTCTGTACATTTAATTACAATTTCTGTTTTCTAAGTGGTATTAGCCTGACTACCTTCAGTAAACTATTGATTTTTTTCCTCCCTTTTTTTAGTAGTTCACAGAATGAGCTGTCAAGATAAGGAAAGCAGAGCAAATAATCAGTATAGCAGAGTTAACAGTAAGTAGCTTCAAATTCTTATTTTCCTAGATTCAAATAATCATCATTACAGTATCTAACTATCACTTTCTGAACTACTGAGGAAGCTTAATGTATGAGATTCTGGAAACCAACAGGAGAAGGAAATGGTAGCTCAGAACACAGGAGACGGGGACAAGCAGACGAGAAACAGGATGAATTGTATCTGTTCTCCTTAACAAACAAGTCTAAGCAAAAATTCAAGATCTACATACTAAAGCTATAATCACATCTGTTGATGAAAGGCTTATGTTGAAATGATGCAACTGATGTTTTACCAGGCTCTATGGATGAGGAACTCTTGTACGCTTCAGAATCTAAAGACTGCATGTGTATGAAAAATAGATGATAACTGTCAGATCTTCAGATTAGCATGCAAATTTAAAGATTGCTTGTTAAATCAGCTCTTGCAAAGTGTAGGTGTAAGAGTCAGCATCAACAGCCTAGCAGGAGATACTGATCAGTTGTAAGCATAATGGTGAATAGAGGAGTCCATATTTGCAAAACAAAATTTTAAATGATCTTGTATTTTCAAGGGAGAAGCCAAGAAGATGCTTCACTATCTAATGTCAGGCCTCAGGTGAAATAGCTGAATATGGGGGACAGCGGAATATGCTGTGCCTGTTGTCCTGGCGATCACCAACAGTAGTTTGACATTAGTCTACCACCTTGGTATCCACTGTGCACTTGTCAGCAACACTACCCACCTCCTTCAAGAAGCTCTCTTTTCAACTTCTCTGGGTTGTACCCTTGCAGAAGTTAAAGCTATTTCCACAGTGGGATAAAGAACCGAAGACTAGGTTTTGTTTTGGGTTGCAATCCCAGCTTTGCCATGCCACAACCTTACTCTGTCACTGGTAAGTCTTCCCCACATTTCAATAAATCTAAATCAAAACACCACTTTAAGAAAAGGACACATCTTAATATCTTACTGTACTTCTCTGTAGCAGGTATATGTAACTGCCCTGGGGCTACCCAGTGTTAAATAGGAATGGAATCAAACACAGCAGAGTAAGGAGAGAAGGCTAGTTACTTTTTAGCCATCTAGCATTTTAGCCACACAACCGCTAAAGAAATCGATCATCTCAAGAATATTTAGTGGTAGATGACAAGCCTACAGATGTCAGATGACAGTAGTAAAAGGAAAATTCACTTTTTGATTTTCACATTTAGCTTTATGGAGAAGCCCTGACAAACACATATCTTGTTCTTCCAGATGTACTTACTTTGCTTAGCGCTTCTGCCAGCAAGACACCCATGTTCTGCGTTCTTGAAAAACTGGCAATAGCACTGTAAAGCAAAAGAAAAAAGTAATTCGCATTTCCATCTTACAGAAACACTTGTCACTTTCACTTTCCAGACTTAATACAAAACATTTTGTAACAGAAATTTAGGTGTTGGAGCTAAATCGTTTAATTACATCAAAGACTATATGATATTAAAAAGAAAAGTATGCTGCCTCAGAATACAACAATGCATAATCTGTGTTGAAGGCTGTTTTATTTAGATGTAGTTTTATACAAAAATCTGTAGATAAAATATGCTTAAATATCTCAAAAGTGGGTTTTTTTTTGTACCCTGTGGAGTAGCTTCACAGAAGCTGAGCACTGATATCCACAACTACAAATCTGACTTCATAATTTTCTTGCTTCCAATCTGACCCATGAAAAAAACTCACCCTCTGCTTTTGGGGAGTATTTCTTTTGACAGCAGCAGTTTGTATATTTTGCACAAGACCATCCCACTAACTTCTTCATATTCCCATGAAAAACAGCCATGTTACCAATATTTCACAAATAAACAATCCAGGGATATGAAATAATTTAGTTCAGCAACAGGAAGAACTGCTTCTGATGATACCATTATTTGCAGTGACATCTCTGTAACTTAAAATAGAGTCAAGAAAAATCGTTACTACCCTTCCACATGGAACCAGACACTTTAAATGTGACTCTTGAAAAGGCAGATACTGCTTTATTTAAGTTAATGATTCCGTAGATCAGGCAAGAGACACATTTCCTACTGAAATTTCAATTTAGCAATTGATAGGGTTTGCCACACTGACAAATGTAAGATATGTAGGATCTGTTTACACCACCAGATACCTATGACTACGGAAAAGACAGCAGCAAAATTACACAGACAACTAGCAATCAATGAAAATAAAAGCCTTCTAACTCCAGAAAAAACACAAACCAAAAAAAACCCAAGTCAAGTTATTAAAAAACAACAAAAGCCCAAGGACACATCAAACTTTGAACTGTTTCTCTTAAATAATGAGGTACAGCCAAATGTAACATCGTCAGAAAACTGTCAGGTAGGCATCTAGTTACTAACACTCCATTACGTCATATATTACATGGCACCTTTAGAGCAAGGATGCTTTTTTTAGCACTAAATTTCAAAGCTCAGCTCGTGCCACGAGCAAACTCAGCTCTGAGTAGACACTTCAAGCTCTGACAGTGACTTTCCAGCCTATCAGATGATCTCATCTGAATCAGAAACAAAGGCCAGGAGTCTGTATACAATAGCTACAAAACTATTTAAAAGTTTAAAGTTTACAAAGTTCTCTGTGACTGCTGTGATTGCAGCCTGACAATGAAATCCATCATCCCAACAAGGTATGTATACTACATCGAGTAACCACTGAGATGCAGAGAACTAGTAAGCAGGAAAAAAGTCAGTGTTACTGGCTCAGCTTTGTTCCAAAAATTCTAGTTTAGGTTAATGTCCTCCCAGCCAGTGAGGAGAAAAAACCCACAAACAAAACCCACAGTGATTCCTGTAGCCTGCCAAGAAATAGCGTCAATATGTCACCATTAAATATGGCCAAATCTAGCAAATTTAAAAAGTTATCCAGCTGATTACAACATTTTAGAGGAAAAAATATAAAACTACACCTTTGTCCAAAAACTGAGTTCAGCTATCAGTTTAGTCACAAGCTTCCTTTTTAACTCCTGGCAAAATAATCTATTTCACAACGATGTTACCAGATTACAGTACTTTGTAGTGACTGTCAGACATGCTGATGTTATGACTGCAATGTACACACAAACAATTCAACTAAAAAGGAAGCCTTCCTGACAGCAGCTAAAGATGTTCAGAAACATCAGAGCTAAATCTCTTTATCAAAAGTAATATAGGCAACTTAAATCTCAGTGTGGAAAAACAAGTGGGAATCAGAACAAAGTTACCTGGACCACTTATCCATCCTGCCTAATCCAGACTTTTTAAATAGTTACCTGGGTCCTACAGAAACTCCACAGTATAGATGGCTCATTTTTTATAGGTAAAAAGCAACTGACATCCCTAAATCCCCAGCAGTGGAAGGAGTAATTCACAGCTTTCAGGATAATTCCAAGATATGCTTTACTAAAGACAAGATTCTAGAGTTGCTCCCAGTTTAGACAGGCCTCTTCAGCAAGCTATCATGAGGACAATACAAAGACTGCTTGAAGGTAGCTCTGTTCTTAAGAGAGTCAACATTTACTCTTGTTTTGTTTCAGTTTATTTTTATGCATAAAACTAGTCCCAGATCGGGACTACAGGAGAGGCATCTACATCCAGACAGAAACCAGAGCCCACTCCTACAGGTAAAAACATTTGCTTACGTTTTCATAGCAGGATGACAAAGTCATTTTTAAAGCAACAAGAGATTTGTTTCCTACCCATACCTAATCAAAGAATGCTCAACAGTTTCCAAGGGAAAAATGAATTGCAGGCTGCCCTCCTTCTAACGGGAACAAACCCCTCCCCTCCTGCTCTCAAGAGTCTACATGACCAGACTGTACTCTCCTCCTGGAGCTGGGCTGTTGAGCAGCAAAAATTTAATGTTATAGAGGACTAGGAAAAAGCATGCACTAGGTGCAGGAGCACTCACTACAGAAGAATTTCCAAGTTCTGCTCTCAACTTAGACAGAGAAACCTGGCTGGACAGGGTGCTGGGCCATCTTGTCCAGACCGTGCTTTTGCCATGAAACATTGGACCAGATAATCCTTGAGGTCCCCTCCAACCTTGTATTCTATGATTATTTTGAACACTGACAAAAGGGATAAAGGTACTAAATGCACACTAGTTACAATGCTGAGTGGAATTTTAGATCCACCTCCCCAAGCACAATACTTCAACCATTCCATTTTGTCTTATCCCCACAAATGTGAAGTCTTTTCCTATGAGTATTTTTGCTATGAAACTTCAAAAGGAAGCATCTAGTTCACTGGTGCAGGCAAGTAACATGGCAAGATATGTATATACCATTTTTAGCTGACAAAAGGCTAAAATTCAGGTCTTCCATTTCCTCACAAGTATCCCTATCATCATCTGGAGGAGGATGTGTACACCACTTCCTTGCACAGCAAGGTCACAGCTATCAGGACACAGCAGATTTGTTCCAAGAGCGCATCGATATCAGGCTCCTTTGAACAAAATCTTAATGCCACACTGACTAGTTTCTGAACGTCACAGCAATTATGAGGGGTGCTAGGTGCTCTGCAATAGCTATGCAATTCTAGATATGCCCCAAAAGAACTGCAGGCTCTTAAAGGGAACTTTCCGTGCAAAAAAGAAGGTATGTGGTGAGATAAGGAAATTCCAGACTACATAGCCACTGAGTTTAAAATTGTAATAAAAGCAAAAACATGAGTGTCTAAATCCTGTTTAGGCACTGTGTTCCATTTAGGAATTTGGACTCAATGCAATTTCAGGAACACCACAGGTCATTAAAATTTTACTCTTATCCTTAGATTAGACAACTTTTTGTTAAGAGATACTTAAGAAGCATGCATATACTTTAGAAAAACATTGTCTTTGTTTGAAAATGCTGTAAGAAAATATTTGTTTTGATGACCACTTCAACCAGTCACTGCTACCTTACTGTAAAGTAGAAGCATGCCTTCACTTTTAGACCAAAACAGCTTGACTAACCTTAAGAACTAGGAAACAGAAAAAGCCAAATTAGATTTCAGATTGAAATAGGAGATGCAGCCTATACAGGAGATAACAGACTCTTTGTGGGGTGTGGGAGATGGGGGTTTAATTTCCTTCAGAACAACGACAGCCTAAAATTCATTCTTATTTCATTGTAAACTGTTTGATCATTACTTTATCGGGTACAGGTAGGCAACACATTGTTTTAATTTCTGCTCCGTAACACATGACAATAGAGAAGAGATTCAGCCTTTGTCTTTCTTGCAAGGCATTGTCCTTAGGTTTTGAACCTAGGTTTGTCCTTTTGTTTTGCAGTAGATGATTACCTCAAATTTGCCTTTTATTTATAAATTGTACAAGTTAATTCAAGAAGTAAACTCTTCAAGTTTAAGAGCTGTTTTTGTTTTCAGCCTTCAGCCCAACACCTATGAACTTTAGCTATGGGGCTGGGAGGAGAAAGCCGTGCGGTGCAGTACCTTGTCTTTTCTTTTCCTGGAGGTTTAGCATGTTTCTCAACAGGTCCATTTTCTTGCTTCTTAGACACTCGCATACCCCCAGCTTTGACTGCAAGAAGAAAATACAACTTATGTAAAAATATCTACAGAATTACATACTATACTACACACACACTTAGAGAAGAAAAAAAATACTTATACCCCAGATAATTGTTAACAAGAAATCATCTTTCAATATTTAACTCTATACTTCACTTTTAAACACACACACACAAACACAGACAGAAGTAAGCCAAAGAGACCCACCAAAGCCTTTAAACTTCTGTGTCATAGCACACTCAAATCAACTTCCAAATACCAGAACCAAGAAGTTAGGAGTGGTTTTGGTCACTGCTAGCTACATTAAATCTTAATGCCTTATTATGTCAATATGCATTCTTCTCCCCTAAATGTCAGCTGTAATAGTTTGCATTTTAAACTTTAAAAAAGCAGAACAAACCAACCTCTAAACAATTTCAGGTTTTCAAACAATGTCACTAACAGGAATAAAGGTTTCATGATTTGCTCAAGGTATTCTAGAATAAACCTAATAATGCAGACAAGAACCAGCTGCATACTTATCTTGTACTTGTGTTCTAACAAGTTTAATTATATTTTATTAAGATACCTGCCAATTACAAAACTAATTAGCACTAATTAAGCTACAGGCAACCTAACAATAACAATTTAAGTACTAAGGCATGTCAGAAAATCCAATTCTGAACAAAGAACATGTAAAGTTATCTAAAACGTCTTGTTGAAAGAAATATTTTCTCCCTATTCATGAGGGGTTTTTTAAGTTTTAAAACTGTGAGTAAGAAAGAACAAACTTGCTGTGTATTTCCCATTATTTAAAGACGTTTCTTCATCTTTCAGCAAGGTTCCTTATTATAATGAATAATAAAGACTAGAGTTTTCAAACTCCAATATTTTGGGATAGGAGTGAATAGGAAATGGAGAAAAGTTTCAAGAATTACTCAGCTAAATAGCATGAGAAATGTATTAGGCCATTTTTGGGTGAGCAGATATGTCCCTCTGTGACCAACACCCAATGCAAATTGGTGATAACACCTAACTGATCAATGAAAAGCCTCCTCTGAAATGGAAGCGTCAACCATTTCCAATTATCTACCAGTAAAGAGAATCCAGATTCTAAATACCCTCAGCTCACAAGGTGTGAAACTCATGTCTTTGTAAGGGGGAATTAACATGAGAGGTATCATTTTAAGTAAGACTAGCAAAGGTTTAAAAAAAAAAAAAAAAGAAAAAAAAAAAGAGTAACACAAAAAACCCCTGGAATATTTCAAGATCTCAGACTCATCTCTTCTTGACGTCACGTCCCCTTTATAACAAGTTCATCCAGAACACCAGTATAAGTTATCCCAAGTATTCTTCCAGAGCTTGTTAGGTGCTCAGATTTTTTTGGCTTTTTAGGAATGAGTCTAATGGCAAATGGGAACCCAACTAAAATTCTGAAGTAAATAAAAACCGTAACTGAACTGAGATCCATGACTTTTGGTTTGGGACCTTCACCAAGCACACACGTGCAGGACTGGTGATTTCTAGATACAAGCTTTTTTTATAGTTTTCATTTAGCAGGGTGAAGATATCCAGACACACAGGGAGGCAAAAACATTTTGACACTACGAAGCTTTACAAAAAGCACAAAAGGGAGCTAGGGACAGGAAGGAGAGAGATAACCAAAATGAGAAAAGATCTTTAAACACTAAGTGGCCAACCAGGAATTGTGTCGAGTACAACAAGCCCACAGAAGAAAGTTATTTATAATAATTACAAATAATGCATGACTTATTTCAGTCTTTTCACTGTCTTGAAAATAGCTCCTAGTAGCAGCTGTCAAACCTGCTGAAACACATCCATGGCAGTGGAAGACTTAAATATGGATGCTTCTGGAATGCACCAGAAAGCTGTTTTGTAATTTCTTTTTTTCACAGCACTTAAGAGAGATGTCAAAGTTTTAATAGAGTGTTGAATTTTTGGATTTTTTTTATGTGTCTTGTTAGCCATGTAATCTAACAGTGAAGAGTTAATAACTAAGTGCCAAAATCTTTACTAATTTCCATATTAAAAACACTATGAAGAAGGAACAAAAAAAAAAAAAGAAAAAACTAACTGCCTTCTTACCCCCCCCCCCCCAAAAAAAAACAAAACCAAAATAACCAAAAAAACAAAACCCAAACTGAAAACAACGGCACTGAGCTCTGTTGAATCCCGAGGTTACTGATGGGTACTATGGTCAGAATAAAGGCGCCCACCTTCAACTGGCTTTGTTCACGAAGAGCGTAGTTGAAACAACTCATTCCCTGCCACCCCTACTCCTCTGCCAGACGGTCACCTCCACTACAGCAACAGACGAACCTTGCCAAGATGCCCTCTACTGTCACGTAAATTCACAATAACCAGCACCGACACTCGGTCACCGGCTGTACCGGTGTAAAGGCCCTCTCAGGTGCAACTCAACTGTCCCCACTCCGCACGAGGGGCGAACAGGCAGGCACAGGAGCCCGTCACCGTCCAGGCACGCGCTACAGGCCAAGCCCCGGGCCGCTACAGCTGCCCCGTGACAGGGCAGAGGTCAGAGCGCCGTGTCCAGCGCTCCTCACCCTGCACCCAACGGCACCGCTCAGCCAGAGGAAGAGCTCCAAGGAAGGGCGGGGAGAACACACATGCACAAGAAGTTTTTCACGTTACGATAGGAGGCGAGGAATAAGACTGGAACACTAAAACACCCCACTTCATCAGAAAACAGATACAGACCACAACAGCCCACTGTTCACGCC